CAAGTAGACATCACGTACGCTCATCGGTGGTTTCCTTTGAACGTTTTTTTTAACACGTCACAGTCCACCGAGCTCGCACCGCTTGTTTTTCTTCGTCAGATGGTTCATCATACAAAAGTTACCTATTTGTATCGTCTACAAACTATTAATAGGCCACGTACATTTAAAGTTTCGACTGTACTTGTACAGAAAACAAAATGTTAACATAATTATTCTGATATCGGTTTTGGCTGTTTTATAGTAAAAGTCTATTATTAAACAAAGAATTGCACGGTCATGACTCACCAGCACGTACCTCCCGCAAAACATAATTTAATGTAATAATTAGTCATATTAGCAACTTCGCGAAACAATTTGATGTTATGAGATCTATCACTCATCATTCAATATCATATATTATCGATTTTATATAGAAACAATGTGGTGGGAGGGTGAAAGCCTCGGAACGAGAAAGATTTAGGTAGACTGTGTCAAGAATGATAATTGTCTGAAAGAGTTGATTACTGAGGTGATGTTACATGTTGTTGTAGGATAGTGGAAGAGAAGGACATGTTGTGTCGACCACTTAGTGTCATAGGAGAACAGTAGAAAGAAGAAAGATATAGACATTTTAATAGCTATGTTTTAGACGTATAATTTGACTGAAAGATAGTAAAGGTAAGACGTTACTTAACATTTTGGTAAGTAGTCGTTTAAAAGACTTTTACGACGTAAGTAAATAATTTATATCTTACTAGCGACCCGCCCCGGCTTCTCACGGGTGCATTGTATTATACATATAAACCTTCCTTTTGAATCACTCTGTCTAGTAAAAAAAACCGCATCAAGATCCATGGCGTAATTTTTTTTTATTGATAGACAGACAGCGGGACGACTTTGTTTTATACTATGTAGTGATTGACCGGTCAAACAACTAATATATAAGTTGATGGCTTTTGGTGGTCAAATTTCAGTATGCGTGATTGATAATAATTAGTTCATATTCCGTGTAGTTGCATAGTCCACACAGAGTTACACACATAATTATTTCAGGCTATTACGATCAAACTTCTTCATGAGATTGAGTTAAAAATATTTTTATAACCATTAGCAAGTTACAAGGACGTTACAGCGACAGTCTCTTGGTAATATTCTATATTTAGACGCACCACCATAAATATAAAGTGGCTGAATATAAAGTTTTACCTGGACGCGTCTCGGTAAAACTTTGTCTTCGGTAAAACACAACATGTCTTTTAATGGGGCCCCAGACACCGTTCGTTGGTGGCACACTACGCTTACGCCCGGTTTCTGAAACACTGATCATCGTAGATGTCAACTAATCAGCTGTCAAATGGCTTTTCAAATGACATTTGGGTTGCCAAAAGGATGGTTAAACTCTTTGAATTGATCATTCTGATCATTAAGATCATTTTTGTCAATTCAGAGAGTTTAACCGCCCTTTTGGCACGTAAATGAAATTTGAAAAGCCATTTGACAGCTGATTAGTTGACATCTACGATTATCAGTGTTTCAGAAACCGGGCGTTAATCTGCCATCGTAAGTGTACGAAACAAAGATGGCGCCTCGTAGAGCTAGTGAAGCCGAGAAGTGACGGGTTCAGCTGAGCCAACTTTAGAGTTTGCAGCGGAACAGAAATTGAAGATTCAACGCATTATACATAATTACAGAATGAAATACAGTGTTACAACTATACTGCAAAAAAGGAATGTTACGGTAAAGAGATCATAGGCTAAAAGACCCATACCATACACACGATTAACTAATCGGAAGTCTTCTAAAAGCAGACGGTATTATTAACTTTAAATTAACCACTCGAAAGAAAATAAAAACAAATGTCTGGATGGTGATATTAGTAATGAGGTAATTGCGACCGTTATGTGAATTTATTGTAAACTAAATCATACAAATTTATCCTTTTCCTCAACTTAAATTGCGATGACAATAAATCTATGACTAATTTTACGAAAACTTTTATGAAGAGAAACTTCTATAGGTACAACTTCTATACGGACAAAACACCCTACAAGTATTGGAGGAACCTTCACGAGAATTCTTCTCACCATTAACATAAATTGTATCTCACAAATGAAAAAGCTGTAAGTTATACGGTTCGCAGATTGCTTTTTCCGTAGGTGCCATTTTAATGGGGAAATGTTAGATTCGTTGCAATCTCGATGCTGCGATAATAAGACAAGAGCTTCCTTAAAAGTAACAACCAATATATGTCCAACTATCTTTTTGCCCCCGGCTTCGCTCACATTGAAGCCCTTAAATAAATATCTATCCCCTTTAAGAACCCTTTTTCCAAATATAAAATGGCCTATGTCCTTTCAATAAGCTCTAGGCTATCTGTGTACCAAATTTCATTAAAATCGGTTCAGTAGTTTTGGCGTGAAAGCGAGACAGACAGACAGAGTTAGTTTGCATTTATAATATTAGTATGGATTACTGAGCACAGAGCACTATCAAGCTTAACGGTCTATTAAGGCACCCCCGTCAGACAGATTTAATATAAACACTATTAACGTATTATTCTGGGTTTATGTATAAAATATACCTGCATATACATAAAACACAATACGGTTGACAAGCTACGGTTAGTTGTATACTTGGTAAATTTTAAAAAATATATATTAAAACCCAATCAGACTTCGGCAAGTGAGACAAGAAAGAAGCATTTTGCATTTGAGCTCGGATCGTTCGATTATTATGTTGGGGATATTTCTTTGTTTTCTGGTCTGGTTGGGTTTATAGATAAAAAATAAACATACAGATATATATTGCATATATAAAATAAATATTATGAATAAAAATAAACATATAGATATAAATATTGTATATAATACATATATAAATAGGACCCAACCAGACGGAAGCCTTCGGCTGGGGAGACCCGGAGTCCCAGTCGCCTCAGATGTCCGGAGAGGCTGACTGGGATCAACCCATTCGCAGATACGACTATTGGGATAATTTCGGTCGGCACACCACCCCACATGTCGGTCACCTCGTGAGCCAGGTCCAGATACTTCGTCTTCTTATCTGTTTCGGCTTTCACGAGGTTCTCGTCATATGGAATGGTAATGTCGACCAAAAATACCCGCGACTGTGTCCGGTCCATCAACACGATATCAGGTTTGTTCGCGACAATCGTCCTGTCCGTGATGATGGACCGGTCCCAATAGAGCCTGGCGCGGTCATTTTCGAGCACGGCCTCCGGAGAGTACTTATAGTACGGCAGTTTCCGTTCCACGAGGCCGTATTACAGAGCGAGCTCCTGGTGTAGAATTCTGGCTACTAGGTTGTGTCTATGCAGATACTCAGAGTTAGAAAGCATGGAACAACCGGAGATAACATGCCGAAGCGACTCCCCGGGATGGCGACAAGCTCGACAGATGTCGACGGTGCCATCCCTGGATGTATCTCCGATAGTTGTTCGTCTTAATAACCTGATCCTTTATCGCACAGACAAAACCTTCGGTTTCCCCAAAGAGGTCACCGAAACGTAGCCAGTTAAGGGAGGCAACAGTATCTACGAAAGGCTCGTGTAGAGCCTTGTAGAACCTCCCGTGGAGCTCTTTCTCCTTCCATGCGGTCTCTCGGTCTGAAACGCTCAGTACTCCCGGGTCCTGCCATTGCTCGTTTGCTAAGGATAGAGGGGTAAGTCCTTTATCACAACTAATGACGTCCGTGTAGATCGATTCATCCGATCTCGCCAGAAAGTAGTTACGGAGGCTGCACACCTCGTCATGGTGCATGGTGAGGGCGCTTAAAAAGCTCCTCCCGCCATGCTTCCGCGGCAGGTACAGCCTTATGTTATTATTATTTTTGTATCCATTTTGTATTGCCCTTACTGTGGTAGTTAGTAGTATATTCAGTGTTGTGACCCATGTTACATGCACAAATCTCGCGCGGTCAAATACCCAAATACAGACTTATCTGTGATTCACACACATATTTGTCACCAAGTCACCAACAATAATCTTTATTACCACCAATTGAGCATATGCCGCCATCGGGATTGAGAGTTAGATGAGCACAATCAGTTTAGAGGCGAGCGCCCCGGGCAATAATTTTTAAGAACCGAGGTTTTAATTGAACATCAAATGTAAGCAGAGACAGTTGATTAGAAATGAGTATGGGGAACAATTTAGCATCGAGCTGTTGATGTAAGGAGATATTGATGGAGAACTAGATGGAAAAGCTTGCGAATTTTCGTTTGCGTAATTTTCGTAGTTTGCAGTACTTACTGCAAGTCTGACTGATAGTTTAAAACGATCTGAAAGTCGTTGTGCAACAAAATCTCAAAGGTTCCGTACGGTCTAAAATGCTCGTTATGTGGCTGTAAGCTTCAAAAGGCTATCAGCTGGGCTGCCATTTGTCAATCTAAAGAGAAACGTTACAACACAAGTTCCGTATGTGTTGTTTTCATTTCGCCCCGCCCGTTTATTGCGGTCTTGATTTAATTGGCGTTGACGTTGGTAAAGATATATCTACAGCTTACACATTATCGCGGTTGTCATAGGGAAGCTAATCGAAGATTTATTGGTTTAAAAATATAGCATTTCGAAATAATGCTCTGAAATTATTGGCGGATTGGCTGGTACAAAGTGTTTTTCACGTATTTCCTAACTTTTTTGCCAAACTGAAGCGAGCTAAAGACTCATGAGGAACTATCCTCCCGATAAATCAGGGTGTGAATCTGTATAGTTTTAATTTACTTCGTCGTAACAAGCAACCAGTTCAAATATCTTTATTCAATATAAAAGCATTACAGTTACTTATTGATTGTCAAAACGTTACAACCGGTTCGAGAAAGAAAAGCCCAGCGGCTTTTCCTGAGAAGAACCGGCCAAAGAAAATCAGCTAAGTTCACCTAACGATATAAAGGTAACCACAATCCATGGCATTTGTAACCCTAAATGGATTGCCGAAAACGCTTAAGCGGGCTGTCCAGACGAAGCGCTCGCAGATTGGATTTAAAAAAAAAAACCTCTCACCTTGAGGGCTACGAGCAATGTGACAGTCTCCACGCTGTAGTAGCCGCGGTCCACGTAATCACCCATGAACAGGTAGTTGGTGTCGGGCGAGCGGCCACCGATGCGGAACAGCTCCATCAGGTCGTGGAACTGGCCGTGCACGTCGCCGCAGACGGTGACGGGGCATTTCACCTCTTGGACGTTTGACTCCTTGGTGAGGATCTCCTTTGCCTGGCGTGGGGGGCGGAGAGTTAGTTATGATCGTGAATCATTCGTAGGTACCTATAGTTCGATTGGATCGTTCGATATTTGAATAGAGTTCGACTTTTCTGGCCGGAGAAGTAGCTAAGTGAAGAAGGTAGGTTAAGAAGGAAGAAATATTGATTTCTTATTTTACGCGAATATTATACATGTTAAAAGAAATAATCCGCAAAATAGTGAGACAGAGGCCTCCACAGGCATGCTCCAACACGCAGTTTTATTTTATAAGGAAGAAATAATTATGACGGCGGCTAGTTGGTGACGATTCAATATGCAATAGGGTATTTTCAAAATAGCGGAAACGGAAGGAAAACTCATTGTTTAGTCTGGTACAGTGGAAATAGAAATGGCAAGGTTTAAATGTTTATATGATACAATCCTTTCTTAATCCTACCTTCTGTTATGTTAACTTCAAGTATGTGTTTAATAATATGTTTCATATTCATAACGTCTAGCTATCATTAATGTCTAGCGATATTTACGCCTAGCAGGATAAATTATGAATGCTAATGTACGCCATAAACGCAAAGCATTACAAATATTTAATGCAGTTTAATTAGTTAAATTATAACATAAACGCTTTCTAGAAATCCACAGCACAATAATTATGTATAACAGATATTATATAAAACGAAATAAGTAACCTGCTTTACGGGATATTTAAATGTTTGATATTTAGTTATTTAGATGGTCGACTTAGTCTCAACCTACTAAACGATAAATTGTCTAATAAATTAGTTGAAAATTCAGCCATGGCTCCTATTTTTAGTATCACTTAAAATACGTACTCTGCTCATTTCAAACCTTTCCATGGATTATTTATACACCTACAGTGTTAACGCTATTATTATTTTACTTATTATTTTTATACGGCTTATAAACAAAATCCTGCTTTTGAGAACGAACGAGGGGCGTATTAGAAAAATAATTTCAGATCGCAACGCGTTAGAAACAACTAAACGAAAGGAAAGCATAGGGGAGTCGAAGAAAAATTTAGAGGTTTATTTATCTTAGGTAAGTTAGTATACATCAGAGATTGATGTATTTTAAAACCGCACATCGTGATTGTTTGCGAACGACAGACCAATCCACAACAATTGTTTTTAATAAGTATCATTGAAATAAGGTGACGTAGAATTTCAGTATGCTGCAAAACGAGAATTAAGTTTTATTAATATTTTTTATATAACTGTGTTATATAAAAATTTTGTGCTTTAATAAATTCACTATAAATTTTCCCAATAATAGATAAAACACAATATAATAAAGCAAAATACGATTCCATAGACAGCAATGTGTTCTCCTTTAGCTTCAATCGGGCATTATAATATAAACTTAACAACCACTGTTGATGGAATATGAAAATGTATGTTGGTTGAAATATTTGCCCTTTGCAATGACGTAACGTGTTAGACAACAACGTCAGGGCGTCTTTCCCTCGTTGATGCCTTGTGTGTGTGTGGTGCCATATAGTATATGGTGGATCGATTTTCGTCAATCCCCGATAACGTTAAACGATTACCATCCACGCTGCCAAGAATACTACGGTAGAGAAGAGACAGAATTTAAAACAGAAATAAGGAATCCTATAATCCAAAATGAATAACCCTGTTCTATTCTAAGATTTATTTTAAAACGTTTCATAAATTTGTCAAAAACCTTTTCTTAATTGCGGATTAAATTGTGTTATTGTTGCAATGTAAATCAAAATATCAAAGCGAACGGAAGATATACGTTACGTAATTCTATTGTGTTAACATACTGAGAACTGGTCATCTGATGTATCTAAATCGTACGTAACAAGTGGTAGTTTACCTATAGAACTATTACTTCGTCTTAGATTACGGTCTAAATAAAATCAATTAAGGGGCACTGACCGCGCGGGAGCAGAATAACACCTAGTTTATCGAACTACCGGCACATTCTATTGAGAATCTAAACTACGAAGAACTTTCTTCATCTAATAACCAAATATTATATGCTTTTAAGTTTCTTAATTGTAAACGTACTAAAGATAACGATACTAACTCAATGACTTTGTATCTGGAAAAATAGGAAAGATACCATGATACAGTAATACCCGTTTTCACTATCCATCCCTAAAATTGCTAGTTTGATCTAAATTCTTACGCGTGACACTTAAGCGGTGGTTAAAAAGAAACTAAATTTTTGAGGTGTCCTTTAAAGTTAGTGATCGATGGTGAAGACGGGCATAAGTTATTTAAAAGATGAAGTGAGTGGAAACTCGCACATATCTCACTGAGAACCAATCAATACATTGGCAGAGGAGTAACGTAGGAAAACATAGGAAAAACACGTACGCGAACTACGAACGTATGACGCACGTGGACGATTGGACAATTAGTTAAGTGAGGGGTGCTTCAATGTTGAACAATCGGTAACAATAAACGTCTCAGTATTTCCGAATTAGCGAATACGCTATTTTTCGTCGTGTGTACACGACCACGTGATTTTTATACTATTACTAACGCCATTTCCATCTGCAAAAAAACTTTAATGGCTAATTATATGATAGTTGAATGAATATGAAGAGATTAGATATAAACATTCATTAAAGTTGATACAACAAAAAAAAACATGATGAATAATATTGAATTAACTCGAAGCGTGGACGGCAACTCGAATGGAATAACAAAAATATAACACGGGATTACTTTTTTCGTCAATTCGGACTTGGTAAATATTTTTTCGCATCTTAGTTAATATTTTAGTTTGTCCCAGGGCCAAAAGTGCCCTATAAATATTTCGATCGATTTTTAAATCGTATAACATGCATAACGATAAAAACGCAACAACGGTCTTGACACTAAAAACGAAAAAGTAGTAAGGTTAACCGGCTAAACTTGTGAATCGCAAACTAACACGCAAAATCCTGTTTATATGTACCAGAGCCAAAAGACTGGTGAAAAGGTCGCCTGCATGGACAGTACATTATATTTTTCTCGAACAAGTAAAAAAAAAAATTGTTACAATGCATTTTAGCTGAAAATACTGGAGACGAGATCCTATTTAAAAATGATTTGAATATTAATATCAACTTTTTCCATGAGGGTAAAGAAGCCAATAGCTTTGCAACTCCCCACATCGAGTCGTTACGAATACAACAACAAATTTCGCCTTGAAAGATGCGTAACATACACAGTTTACAACAGCAAGGACAGAGGGTCTGTCTCCATAAAGGACGCAAAATATAAGAAAACCTTTAATATAATTATTGACACTATTGAAAGAGAAATGAAAAATCCTTCTTGCTTTATAACAACTTCTTGTTTATTTTGACTCAAGGGCAAATGAGCAGAAAGGCAGTAACATACACACTTTACAACAGCGAGTACAGAGGGGTCTGTCTCTATAAAGGACGCAAAATATAAGAAAACCTTTAATATAATTATTGACACTATTGAAAGAGAAATGAAAAATCCTTCTTGCTTTATAACAACTTCTTGTTTATTTTGACTCAAGGGCAAATGAGCAGAAAGGCAGAAGTGTCATTAATTTATGTAAAAATAGCAAACATTTTGATGAACTTCTGAATGTTTTCGGAGCGGCAATATTTAATAACAAATTAAATATGTAATAACGAAATAATCAAATAACCATAGGATCCAAGATAACCAGAAATTTTATAGAAAAGAATAAATATTACTTCGTATTACTTATCAAGATCTTACAATAATATGCCAAAAGGCGACTCAATGTACATAGAATTTAGTTAATACTTTTACTTTCACTATAAACAAACCAACCAAAATGTTTCAATGGAAACTAATGAGCACACTTGGTACGTACACCGCGAATGGTTGGGTAAAATTGTAATATGTGTAAGTAAGTTAAAAGCTCGACAATTTTTTACAGGGATTATTAACAAAACCTCATTTCTCTTTCAGTTGAACAGGTTCACAACAAAAAAGTTGTTGCCCGAAGGGACAGGTAACAGGTACAACACGAGTCACGACTAAAAAAAAACAATGAGTGCAAACAATGTACAGTTTCAACAGCCAGTGAACGCTTTCTCGGCTCCCATGGGTTCCGCAGTGACGTCACCGGTTCTATAAAACATTAAGTGCACATGGCGGGTCCAACGCAAAAAAAAGCGCGCCAAAACTAACGTAGCGAAAAACATTGCCACATATACGTCTTCATTTTCAAGGCATATAGGAATACATTAATATGTGATTTCAAAAATTCAGAGGAAAATATAAAAAATGACACTAATACTAGAAGGGGCCCACCAAAACCTACCTAATAAAAACTAAGTCATTATTATTTACATGCTCAAATTAATTGACCTTTGTAAGTGTTAGAACGAATAAGTTTTCAGTGATATTTTCCTTAGTTTTAGTTGATACCTTTATAATATTTTGTTATCAAGCCGAGGAACTAAAATAAAAATAATAAAGTTACAAATGGTTTATAGCTTGCGCAAACCGACATAAAGCAGTCATATGGTACATTAGTAACAATTAGTGACTACATGGTGATAATTATCAAGTAAAACAAGTCCAGTACGTCGCTGTCGCATCCTTTGTGATAATTCTCATTTAGAAATGTTCATGGTACAAAAATGTCATAGATAAACATTGATATTTGCTAGTTTCTATACAAAATAAAACTTTTGTTCGGTCAATTCAACTCGTTACAAATTGTAGGTTGTTTAAATTTACATTAAGAAAAATTGAAAATTCATGTAGGATTAAAAAAAATGAAATATTCGACGCAAACGTCTAATATTACATCGTTACCATGTTTTTGTAATAAATTCTATTGCTCGTGTGCTAAAATGGAATAAGAAACGACTGAAATTAAAGAATAACTTATGTTAGATACATATAATATATTAACCAGTATGATATACAGCGTGTCGTTAACTGGGAGCCGGTGGTTGTTAAACCCACTGGCTCGAATACACAATCAATCAACAATCCGTAAACTAAACAATAATAATAAACAATAAATACTTATCATCCCTCGCGTTCAAATCCTATGACTAATCAATATGCGAATCTTAAGCAAAATAACTACAATCATGAAAATGTACTTGACCTAGCTCTGAATAAAAACACACCCAAAACGTGCTCTTTAAATAAGATTTAATATTTTATTTGTAAAATCTCCTTAATTGAGTTCTCTTTAAAAGAATTATATTATAATAACACGTTGTTTTATTGAGATGCGTAAAAGTGGTCAGTAAGGAGGCACGAAGATGCCTTTCGAGATAACTTCGAACCTTAGTCAGACTGACCCTAAAGCTAAGAAGGCACGTAGATTTCTTTCAAGATAAGTTCAAACCTTAGTCTGACAGACCCTAAGCATGTTGCAGCAGGTAAATAAAACTTAATATGAGCAAAAAAGAAAAATGCGGACATATCGCAGAGAAACTACCTATGTAATAATCAAATGTATATAAAAATAGTACCATAAACTATCGGTTTACAGAAGATTTAAATAATTGTCGAACAACCATAGATCTAACAACATAACAAACCATAGATATAACTTTAGCGACTAATATACTCAAGTATTTGTATTCCACGAATGGTTGTTGTTTAGCATTTTTTCCCAACAATCTCACCTGTAAACGAAATGAGTATGGAGAAAACTGTAAGTAATGTTTACTTATTTGGTATACGTTTTAATTTATCATTTACTTTAATGTACGCCGAGCAGCAGTTTGTGAAAAAAATGTGTCTATAAGGTACTTTATGTTCTCACATAAAGTACCTTATAGACACATTGGTAAGCGAGCAATCGGTTTACCTGTCCGGTTACCACACTCGCGGCCAGATGATACCCAAAATATAACACTTCCACTCCATGCCAGTCTTTCGTGAGGTCATGGTGCTTCCCCGGACAAGCATGCACTATGGTGCAATAGCTGAAGCTGTTACGTGGCCATATAAAACTTCACCCTATGAAGTTGAAATTAAAAATGCTATCACGGCAACGGCTTATTGGTTATGCAGGGTAACTGCCTAATGCATTCAATGTTATATTCGTTACAGACATTTAGTTGTTACAAAAGTGGATAATGACGTTGCATAACTAAACGCGTTCGTATTAATAATAGAAAATCTGTATGAAGGAAATTGTTGTAACTGAAAGTATAAAATATGTAGTCTACAATATTACTTTCAAAAGGCGAAAAGAAAAACATTTGTATCCTAGAACAATAACAAAATCTCAACGTACTTTTAAAAGGTATATTGTAAACGCCACAACACCATTTTCCGCTAAAATGCTACGATATTCAGCGTAATCTTTTTGAATTTAAAGTTGAAGAAAAAAATATTTTTATTGCGAAAAACTTATTTCTATAACAAATGTAAGAACTGAATGTAACAGAATAGTAACCTTAGAAATAAATAAATAAATATGTTGCTAACGTTTTTACTTACGTAAATAGCTAAATTAAATGCAAACGGGACGCCTAAGAAATTTTTTGATTTATTTTTCTCTCATAGAAAATTAATGAAATATAATTTTTCATATTATATGAATATAAATGTAAATTCGTAAAGTAAATATTGCTACTGATATTATCTTAGAGATAAAAAATATTATTGAATCAAACACAGTAAAAATTAGATTAAGACACGGTTTATCACAATAAATAGCAATCGAGCAAAATTTCTGTATTAATGTCATATTGAAGGTACGGAAGATCTTAGAAAAACAGTACCTACATAAATGAAGAAAAGTCAATACCATCTCTATTAGAAATAAACAATTTAAAATTAAAAATACCTATTATAAATACCTAAGATTAACAATAAAAAATAAAAAAATTGTATGCAAGACGAACAAAGTGAGACTAACGTAAACAACACCCCGGCTGAGGTTAATGAAAGAGATAGCGGAATGCTATCTCGAAATCCCCGAGATCTTACGCGAGACGGGGTTTTTAACCTGAAGTTGTAAGAATGTAAAAATTCATGGACTTTCCCTCGCGCTAAACCAGCATCGTATGAGCAGGCAAATAGATTTCAATAATAATCAATTATATTCAGCGGCAGAGTATCACGAAATAAATAATTTTAATGTTTCTGGGTTCCCATACGGGAATGTAGACCCGGAGTTTAACGGTCATCTCCCACCAAAAGGGGACATTAAAAATCGAGACATCAAAATGGACGGGCCGTAGATAGTGGTCAAACTGTACTAAAATAATATGGTGACCTTGGGTCCGGCGCACGTATGCTTTCGATGAGTTTCTTACGATCCGTTGGACTAGTTTGCTTCGAACATATCCAATATGAACCCACAAACACGTTCAAATTTCTTTCTAAAACAAATTGCCTCGAATTCAATGCATAAATGCGAAATATGGCGCGATGTGCGTGATGAAAGAATATTTCCAAAGAAATCATAATAAAAAAAATATTATTTATATGTAGTATGTAAATCCATAAAACATTTAAATACATTTTTTTATTTATAAAAAATGGACAAATACTTTCGGTGCTGTGGGATTCGAACCTGGATCTTCAGAATTTGAGTCAATGTGCATATACTAGTATAAGACAAATAAAAACTGGTGTAAGTTTCCAATGAGCTATTAGAACTTTATGAATGATAACATTTACAATGAATTAACACTATAGTACAATTAAGATCTTAGGTAGCAAAGGAAGTACAGCATATTTCCAGAATTACCTATTTGCTGGCCAATATTTATTAACATTATAACAAAATTACATCTAAATACTTAGCTCCAGATTATAATTATTAAATTGTTCTAATATAACATGTGAGTTACATTAAAATGCCTAATTAACAGAGCATGAACGAACAACATTCAGTTGACCTCATCAATGCAAACAACTTCAGTATAATTCAATTCTTGAGGGCAAAGAATAATGGTTTGATAAAATAAAACTGGAGAAATAAACATTTTGATTCATTTTTAATCATGGAAACAAATAATGAACATATACATTACATTATTACATAAATCCTTACAAAAATAGGTTTTTCAATAAGATGGAATTGCTAAGTAATACATCCTTTAAATTGTGAATGATGTATTACCTCAATGTATTAATTAGCATAATACATTGAAAAGTTATGTTTATACAATCCTGATCTACTGCAAACTCCTTAATACAACTTACAATTCCAGAATAAGAAAGGTGTGTCAACATGAAGGCAATGGAGTCTTGCAAAAAGTGTTAAAAAATTATGATTGCTGCTGTATGATGCTTTGAATATAAGCCTATACCAAACATGTAATGTACCTTCCAACAATAATTTTTGCTGTGAACACAAGTACTAGAACCAATTCTATATATTAATGGGAGTAAAACAATCTTATCAAGATATGAGAAAAATTTAACCTGCTAAATATTATTTTACCCATAAAAGATACATACACTTCATTTTGTAAAATATTATGAGTCTACTAAAAGTAATAGAGCATAAAATTAGAAATGATAAAGATGAAATTGTTATCAACAGGACTAGCAGCAACATTATCGTTAATTTTACAAACAAAGTTGTTGATCTATTAAAATTTCTTTTTTTACATTTCTCACTTTCACAATAAATCTAATTAATTTTAAAGAACCTAATTGATTTTACTATTGAGAATTCATTATTTACACACCTCTATAGAGAAAAGACATGTTAATATATATCAATAAGATTATTTGCTTGTTTAATATTAAATAAATGTATCAACTGTAAAAACACTAAAATGTTTTTGTTCAAATAAGGTTATATTTTATGGTTTTAAATACGAAAAAGATCAAAATTGCAGTCATTTGTATAAATTGATTAATATTATTTCCGCACAAGTCTAAAAATACCCTGTATTGAACCAAGCTCTAATCAACTGAATGATTTAACCATTAGCGGTTGGAAATATACAAGTAATCGCGAAGATAGCGCTGAATAGTTTTTTACAACCTTTATAGCTTAATAACCACAGGTCGACAGATCAGCTTCGACTACATACGCGATCTCGATTCTTGTCTATGTAGGTACATGAATCACACAACATAAGCATAACTAGGCACCGACCTAAGCGAGGTATACATCACTAACAAAATCGATTACCTAAGTTATATGTTATATTAAAAGATATTAAATGGTCCATTACCTTATCGCATAACGTTTTCACTTGGTTTTCTGTCAATTGCTTGCATTCGTTTAGCTGTTCTATCCATTGATCCAGTTCCTTTAACGACGCCTTGTCCTCCATACTTTGAGTCTGTGAAATTAACGTACGAGACGTTAACTTATTGGTTTGTGATATTTTTAACGTTTTAACGTACACAAAACCATGCGAATTTTGTAATATACACTGCGCCCAGAAATACTAACTACAGGAGACACTTACAAAATGGCGTAGGTACCACTTGCGTGACGTCAATTTGATTCAAAAGAACGACGTCCCCCAGCGGAAATCACAGGTACTACATTCTGATGCCATGTAAAAGATGCATTCAAAAAAGAACATTTTCAGAAATATATTTTTATTTATAATTATTTAACTTTCAACTATTAAATATTTAGTATTATTTATATAACATAAATACAAATCTGATAGAGATTGTTTTACGAATATTTGGTTAATGAATGAAAATTCTACAAATGTAAAAAATACATGTATTAACAATATATTTTTTTCATTCGTAGAACTTTGGAAAATAAAAAAGGAAGTTTAACCTATTAACACAAAAATTTACAAATCGAATATTATATAATATAAATCTCATAACTTATTTACACTTATATAGCTTACAATTTAATTGAAAACAAGACATTATTTAAAGAAATTATGAAACTTGTACATACTTTACCAATAGTCGACGTGGTATACTTAGCTTTAGCCATTATATGTGTTTCCAGGAATAAATCCATTTAAAGAAATAGTATAAACTCGAAATTAAATTTATTAAAGATTGTTAATTAGATAATATTATGGTTACTAGCATTTTAATTTTAAATCCTTCCTATAACAATTACCGTCCTTGAGAAACATATGTCATATTTCTATTTTTTAAATGTAAAATAATTAGATGCGTTCAAGAAGGTTAAAAAGAAGATAATTGTTATCATATACATTAGAAAAAGGAAAATATGGCTTGAAAGAATCTAAGACATATAGAATTGTAAAAATATTTAATTTGTATTATGGTCATTTAATGAATCAAAAGTAAATATTTAACAGTCTAGATAAGATTATAACTTAATACAGAAATTAATTAGTTCTCTTAAAATAATGTATATCAAATGTGACTAAATGTGAGATTATGTGCAATAGAAAAAAGTGTATAATTTTTATTTATATTTCATTAACATTAAATTGATTTCATTTTTGCCATCGTCATTCATATATAACATTAGTTATTTATCTGTTATTATATTATTTTCGTAGTTGGCAACACAAGGAGATCCTCTGAATCAATCAACGCAACGGCCTTCATTCTTTCTCTCTTTTACGATTTGGTGAAGCCATCGGGTGGTTGATCACTTAGAGTGAAAATGACTGAAACCCTTAAACTTAGAGGTACCCTATGCGGTCATAATGGCTGGGTTACGCAAATTGCTACGAATCCTAAATACCCTGATATGATCCTATCGTCTTCTCGAGGTAAGTTACATGCATTTTTATTTTTCACTTTCAATCTGGTTTAATCTGGTCGAATACTTGATATTTTTCAAAATTAATTAGTTCAGAGCATAAGGGCACTGCCAATTCATTTTATTTTAATAATATTTTAAGCATTTTAACATTAGGTACATATATGATGAACAGAAAAATTTGCCACGTGATTTCTGATCGGCATGCGGATATGGGGCTGACTGTATCAACTACGCGTTCACAATAAATTAATTGTTTCAGTGAACTAACTGAATTTTTTTCTTACAGACAAAACTCTTATCGTTTGGAAATTAACAAGAGACGAAACAAACTATGGCGTTCCTCAGAAACGTCTGTATGGCCACTCTCATTTCATCTCTGATGTCGTTCTGTCTAGTGACGGAAACTATGCCTTGTCCGGTTCATGGGACAAAACTCTCCGTTTGTGGGATCTCGCAGCCGGAAAGACTACCAGGCGTTTTGAAGACCATACAAAGGTGTGATAGAACTTACAGTTGGTTAAGTGTCTTTAAAAGGTAACAGTGTTAGCGCCTATGCGAGGCAGAAGACGTGTGTTTGTGCCTTAGCGAGGCAGAAGATGTTTTAGACCTAGCAATGACGTTGCAGCGCCGTTGCCGTAAGTAGACTAATGTAAATCACACTTATAAGGTGACATTAATAATTTTGACCTTCATATCATTATCACACACTGATCGTTCATATACTATAATTAGGTTCAAATTTAACTAAAACACTTAAATATGACATTGATTTCTGACAAGAATAATCTATATTATTTCATAATAGTACTTCTTCTATTACATAGGATGTCCTGTCGGTGGCCTTTTCGGTAGACAATCGTCAAATCGTGTCAGGCTCCCGTGATAAGACAATCAAGCTGTGGAACACATTGGCTGAGTGCAAGTACACAATTCAAGATGATGGTCACACTGACTGGGTCTCATGTGTACGATTCTCTCCCCAAACCATGCCAACCCTATCATTGTATCTGCGGGCTGGGACCGCACAGTTAAGGTAATTAAAATGATAATATATATGGTTACTATTATTTCTATAGATAAGCTATAATTTAATAAAGTACTAGCTGCTGCCTGCGACTACATCTACTTCAAATAGGCTGAAGGTGTAACATTCATACAGAAAAACAGATATACATAAAATATGTATGTAAATTATAGCCTGTCTTATTCTGATGTATAAGCTATATTATTGTAAGGTTTCATTAAAATCTATTCTGTAGTTTTTACATGAAAGAGTAACAAACATCCATCCATACATACAAAATTTCGCCTTTATGATATTAGTAATAAGGATTTTTGTGTACTGTAAAATTTTTAACAGTAAAATAGTATTCATTTCTTGCTTTTACATACATGTTTAAAGAAACAAAACTATTATTTGGTTATAGAGTTCCAATTATTAGAATCTTACAGTATAAAAAAATACATTATATGAAAGATACAAATATATAGATAATAGTAAATGTCTAACAAATAGGTTATTATCAATGTAAGCCTTTATTTTTGTACATAAGGAAACATATATTTTATCATAAGTGTACTTCATGATTTGTTTTTCAGGTTTGGCATTTAACCAACTGCAAGCTCAAGATCAACCATCTTGGTCACTCTGGCTACCTCAACACTGTAACAGTATCACCTGATGGCTCTCTGTGCGCATCTGGTGGCAAGGATATGAAGGCTATGCTCTGGGATCTTAATGATGGCAAGCACTTGCATACATTGGACCACAATGACATCATCACAGCCCTATGCTTCTCACCCAACAGATACTGGCTTTGCGCTGCTTATGGGCCCTCTATCAAGATTTGGGTAAGAAATACAATTCTTTATTTGTCATGTTAAGTGTCTGGTGCTTACCTTGTATTTATAATATAAAGTTAATCTATCATTCTGTTTGCTACAGAAAATATATAACAATACTTAAAAATTTTGACTCCCCCACATGAATAATTACACTATATAATTTAATTTCATTTACAGGATCTGGAAAGTAAGGAAATGGTAGAAGAACTCAAACCAGAAATCATCAACCAAACACAAAACTCTAAAGCTGATCCTCCTCAGTGCCTTTCTTTGGCTTGGTCTACTGATGGCCAAACCCTGTTCGCTGGATATTCTGACAACATCATCAGAGTCTGGCAAGTTTCAGTCTCCGCACGGTAAGAAGTGGAGGGAAATAATTTCATTTATTTTTGTGCTATCTTAAATGCTCTTCTTTTATTGACTGAAGTATAAAAATAAATGGAATTGTATTTTAAACAAAGTGTTTTTTTTATGATCTCTGTAGATTAAAAGGATGTATGTGAAGTAACAAATGTCTGTACATTGTACATAATTAATATTTTTTTTATGTAAATAAAGTTATTTAAATTTGTACTATGCAATTATTCTAATTTGAACACCCAATTGTGATGTTACTCACACTTTTTTGTCATTGAAATCATACGAGTTTGTTCTTTGACATTGAGCAAGATTTTAAATGAGATAACCCTTAGTGACGTTTGCAATAAGTAGTTTTATGAAATAAGATGTTTCATAGTTGTTTAGAACTGGTACTTATGTAGATGAAATTTGTAATCTAGGCGTTGGTTATTTTCGTGGGTTGACAGATAACTTATATACATTCATAGTTGGAATTGATTTACTACATATGTAGTTGAAGTAAAAAAAGCAGGGCCGCCACATCATATAAATGGATACAAGACTCAAAAAGTGTATAATATAGTCGTGTACCTAGTTCATATAGCAGACTGCCTTGTTTAATTGGATACAAAGATTAAAGTAAATTTTGTGAGAGCCTGAGAGCTAAAATAGCAATTATTTTATTTACCATTAATTAATTGCTAAATCGATTTACCATTCCGGAAACCAAACCAAGTAATAAATTTCAAGAAAAACGTTGGAACCGTTTCAGATATATATACAAGAATTGCTCCTTTAAATGTATTAAGTACCCGGAGGACCGAGCTTTGCTCGGTTTGTTGTTTTTTTGGTAATTATATTTAGATACAAATTACTGAGTAATGAAATATGCATAATATTTTTCAATCTTACCGACGTAATAATAAGAAAATATGAACTGATGTTTTTCACAAAAGAAAGAACTTTAAAAAAAAGGGAAAAAATAACAAATCGACAAAAAATTAAAAATAAAGAAAGCAATGATCTGGATTCGAAAAAAAAGTAAAAAAATAAATGTGTAAATATGATCGTGACGCGAACCACGGGCCGTCTGTTTTGGGGCCGCCCGATTACCGACCGAGCTATTATGACATTTTCTCTTGCGGCGAAATTTACCGTCATATTCGAATTACATTTTTCATTCTCTGAAAACAGGGATAAAAGGGCATTTTCTAAAAATTAAACCTAGCTAGATCGATTTTTCGCCCCCGAATCTACGCACATACTAAATTTCATGAAAATCGCTGGAGCCGTTTCCGAGATTCCGATTATATATATGTATTTACAAAAATTGCTCGTTTAAAGGATAAGATATATAATCCGATTTAGATAGATTATCCCTTTTCCTTTATTTTATAAAAGTTAAAATTTCTCAACGCCTTATAGATACGTCCCTTTGTTTTATCATACAAGATATCGAAGTATGAATTAATATATTGTTTTAATTTTTTTGGTCTTGTGATGTCACGCGCAGCATTAACAAATAAATTTATTGTTTCCAATGGCCTTGCTTTTCTATCATGCAATAGTACCATTATCCAATGAAATAAACTTTATACCTACATTATTTCTTGCATGCATTTAAAAAAAAGTCTAATGGTGTTTAAATTAATTTTTATTTTATCTTTGTAGTTTTCAAGTCCAAAGGACTATTCAAAGATCATCTGTTGTAAGAACTGCGAAAATGCCAACATATTACGAGATAGGTAATATCGAGATATTGTTCATGAAGGCCGAAAATCCGTTAAGCAAATAGCTACAATTTTTTTAGAAAGGACCACCTTAAAAGGTTTTTAATGGAAAGGACAAACGGACAGGAGGCGCACCTGATGGAAACTGATCATCACCGCTCATGATCATCCGCAAAACCAGAGGGCTTGCAAATGCTTTGCTGGTCTTTCAGAATTGAATATGCTCGTTTTGAAGGTTTTCAGGTCGTAACGAATTTTCAGTGTTCACAAGCGAGGTCTATATAATGGATTCGTTAACTAATACTGTCTATCTGTTATTTAAAGATTAAAAAAAAATGTTAAACGGTAAATGATTTACATTCCGTGCAGAATCCTATAGAGAAGACAACCTTTTATTTTTTACTACCTGTTTAATCTAATAAAAAATTCGTCAATTATTAATCAAAATAGCGTTATGTTCTTCGCCCCTTTGGTGTAAGTCGGAAAAAACATGCACACAGTAACAGGAATATGTTAAGTAGGATTCAAGCCACCAGCACATAGGAAATGTTTCCGAAATATAACAAATCAGCTAGAAAGAATACTGCTAATCACATTATTAAAAATGTGTTAGATATCACATGGGTGTATTTTTTAACTGCATTTATACATAAAACCCCAGATTACTTGTCTAGTGAAAGTAGTCAAATATAGGTACATAACTCCATAAAACCATTTCATTTCAATGAACCACTGATACAAACATATAACAGAAATTTTTGAAAAATAATGAACTCATTGAAGCATTTATGCACAATGGGGTAACCAGATATCAAGCCGATGTAGCAAAAAAACTTGGTATTGCTTAAAATTCTGAGTAAAGGTAAAATTAATTTCATTTTTTCAATATGAAAAATGTATATTAAAAATTATATGGATTATTTTTGATACGCATTTTTACGTATTTCACATTAAAAAATAAGAAACCAAAAATAAAGGTCTTAAAAGAATTTTATTATTAACCTAATTTTTTATTTTTTTAAAAGATATTAATACAAATTTTATTTATTCAATATAATAGATATAAAACAACACAAAATTATATCATAATAAAATATACATAAAAATTTAAATGTGCATTTTATGACACATCTTGTTATAAAAACATTTTATTCTCTTAAATCCATCTCTCTTTGCTCAACTTTGATTTCTATGAATTTTCCAATGTTTCTCTACATCTTTTAAATCATTAGAGATTCTAAATATAAAGTATACAAAATCCAACATACATCAAAACTGAAAATGTAATTTTGATTTAAGAGATAATGAACACTATTATATTATAGGAATAAATACCATTTATATTCTTAACTATGTCTTCAAGAATAACTAACCACAAACAATAAATTACCCATCCCATCCCATTAAAAATAAATAACTTATAATAATAACAGTACCATCATCTCTCCTTTTATAGAGCATATGCTCTTTGTAGAGAGCCACATAGAAACCTTTGTTTAAAACAAATTATACAGAATATTTTTATGTCTTAAATTATTTGATGTTTATTGTCTTAGATTTAAAGGAAGGCCTTGTTGATCTAATAAATGGGATTGCACCATTTCTGGACCTTTGCCAACTTTAGTGTGAATTACATATTTAATAACATCCTTTAATTGTTGATGTATTGGAAATGTATTTAAAAAGTCGGCATTTAAGTCGATTTTATTAACATCACCAAGCCCTATAACAAAGTCCGAATTTGAGGATGGAAATAAATGCTTTATAAGTGCCAATACTTTCGGAACTTCCTTTTCGAGCAGATATAAACACGCATTTGGACCAGCATCAAAAGTGTAGGCAACTCTCAGCTCTCCACACATTTCATTATAGGCATGAATTATTTCAACAACTTTATGGGAAACATCTGTCATATAAACACAAGGAGGATATGTGTCAAGGCAAATACCATGAAACTGATTGCTATCTTTCATGGTCAGTTCTGCGAATTTTGCAAAATCTTTATCCAATATTGCTTGTGTTATTTCTTGCGTTCTTCTCGGGACACTGTATGCAGCACGGTGCTTTATTAAATCTGAAGTTTTCACAGAGTTCATCATGCCAATTGTTGAGCTTGTGTGTTTTTTATTGTCTGACACAACAAGTATTAATGCTCTCATCTCTGGCCAGTGGGATGAGTCCGCTATTTGAGTTGCGATAGAGTCACTTCCATCTGGATTAACACCGGCATGCCACCTTACAAAACCTCCATAAACACTTCTGCAGGCACTTCCTGAGCCAATTCTTGCTAAAACACTCAGATCAGTTTTAATTTTGTAAAGTTTAGCGAGAGCTGCCACCAAACAGGCGTAACCAGCCGCAGAAGATGCTAAACCAGCAGCAGTTGGGAAATTGTTTTCTGAACATACATGAACTTTCCACGAAAGAACACTAGCATCCACACTCTGTTGTCTGGCTGCTATGGATTTGACTTTTTCTAAACAGTTAATCAGACGTGGGTTGGAAAAAGTAGTCTTGATTCCATTCAGCCACATTTCATTCTCATTAAATCAGGTCGCGTGCATACAGAAGTTTTAGCACACATAATACTTGTATCCAAAGTGACACTAACAGAATCATTAACGGGTAAAATTAATTTCTCGTCGCGCTTACCCCAGTACTTAATGACCGCAATATTTACAGGTGCGATTACTGAGACTATATTAATTTGTTCCATTTTTTAATAAATTAAGCCACTTCACGTGCACGTATTTGAAGCCACAAACTTAAAAGTGAAGTGAAGAAAGAATCGAGCTCGAGCAAACACGAACGAAATTTAAATTATGTGTACTGTGTAACTGTATAAAATTACAGGTTTGACAAATTGTAATGTTGCTATTTAATAACATGCTCGCAACTTATCCCATTCCCAATCCCATATTATGTATTGAGTGATCAGTAAAAGCTAAAAGAAATGTACATATTATATTATCGCTTTAAGCATAAATAATACCTATATACTGGCTTTAGGGGATTTTATTTATTTTTCAATTATAAAACAAATAATCTATCAAAGGATTATGAAAGAGAGACAAAAAAATAGAACTTATTTACTTAAAGAAAGACGAGGACATACATTTTACACTGAAATTCAATATTTAAATTAATAAAAACCTAAAGAAAATGTTGTAAATATTTATTTATGTCTAATAATAATAGTAATAAAATATTTGCACCGTACCTTTAAAATTTTAAAAGTTCTGAGTGAAATTATTTGTTAACTCAATATTATTTATATTTGTCATTTTAGATTAAATCGAATCGTTTAAAATTAATATTTTTAGATACAAAAAATCGTTCGGCTAGTGTTACTTGGTAAAATAGAAATTTGTACTCACTGCCCTACTCATGGTGTTGTCAGATTTCTCTGCACATTTTTAAGTTTAGGATATCAACGCTGCCATTTTCGTTTTGTGGCACGGTTATAGCGGCAGTCAAAAGTATTGAATTGTTAGAAATACTACAATTTTAATAACTTGTATGTTTCGTGTTAAAATAGTTGTTCTCTTGTGCGTTTTCGTCCTGGAGGAACATCAAGACAGGAATCAGTGTATTCTACACGTCGGGTAATTGTTGACTTCCTTGGGTGGAACGGGTGAGTGTACTAGTTAGTAAATTCGACTTATTTGTATAGTTTTTCTCGTTTCTTCCTTTTTATTAAAGTTATGATATGCTGATGATCTAATTGCCCGAATGTGTTACTCATGATATCTTTAATTACGTACTTGATGTGTTTTTGAACCATTGGATTCGGTTCCTAAAATGGGCGTTGTGAATATGATGAATACCTACTACGGTTTATCATTCATAATTTTATTGCTAGTCCTAACACCGTAAATCGTTTTCATAAATCCTTAGGTAACAAAATTTAATTATTCATAATTGAGAATGCAATTATTTGCATATGTCTATCATTTATATCAATCTTATTAGAAATTAAAAAAGTAAATAATAATCATATTGTTAATTTCTTTTGTGTCCAGACTACAAGAAACATATTAGTACATTTTTCATTTGATTAAGGTAGTTATTTTTCATATGGTTACAGCATTTAATAACAAACTGATATTTCTTCTGATGGAATAAACATTGAACATTAAAATATTTTTGTCATGGTATTATTGCATTTAATACCTACATTTAACTATTAAATGCATCACCAAGGTATAAAAATTTTACACAACCAAAAATATTACAATTGTAACATCACTGTTATTACCAAATTAAAACCAGCAAATGTTGTAGTTTTGTTTTACAAGAATTTAAACTAATTTGTAAAAGGAATATGTATTTCTTAAAAATTTATCTAATTTCCCTAACAAAGTATAACTGACCAGATATTGTAATTATTATGCCTATAAGATATGATTTGATGACAATGAACTATATCAATAGCTATGTACAATTCCTTTTGGTACATTTCTGAGATTGCCTGGAAGAAATTGCTGTGTAGCAATTAGGCCACCTTTTGATGACCAATATTTGATAAATATTTTGTTTTTTGTACTTTTTATTTTTTATTTTTTATTTTTTGGTGTACAATAAAGTATATTATTATTTCCAAATACACAAGTGCAACTTTGACAAAAATTTTGGTCATGGTAGTGTGATGTACATGTATGTATGCAAATCAGTGAAATGTAGGATCCTATCCTTCTGTAATATATTTGACATAATGAGATAAGCCATTACAATAAAAATGTTATGCTCTTCAAGTAGTAATGGCTATATTAAATTTTGTTCGATCAATATGTATTATAGCCAGATGTGTAGATATAATCTGTCTGCCATTCTTGATATTGATAAACTTGTAATGTATTTCCCTCTTTTGCTCATATATCATCATTGTTTAATTGAAAAGATATATATTTAGAAAACTATGTTTTATCTATTTTTCAACAATAACTGATGGGGAAGAAAGGTTCTTGAGTGCCAGCCTCATACTGGCCATCGCAGTGTAGGATTATACCCCCATTAGATGCAGTGACTATCTGTCCAAATGTGTGGGAAGTTGATGGATGCAGGTGGCTCAGGAATTTGCTTTGTGGCAGTCTATGAGGGAGGCCTATGTTCAGTGGTGGACTCAAACAGGCTGAAATGATGATGATAAGGCCTCTTTCTATCACCATTTTAATATTTATTTGTTGAAATTTATGTCAAGTTTGATCATAGTTCAGTAGACTACTCTAATCTAGAAGATACCTATTTTTTTAGTTTAAAGTGCAAAATGATATGACTAGGAATGGTTGTCAAAGAATAGGCGTTTTTGAGAACCACTTTTCTGCCTCTTATGACCCCTTTATTTGAAAATGGGTTGTATAAATTTCAAGTTCAATTAAAACGAAGTTTATGATCCCTTGCTATGTAAAAATTTTGTGCTTCTAAGTCAATACACTCAAAAGATATGGTCATTTTGATATTTGCAATCTCACTCCAAAATCAACATTTACAAGGCAAGCAGACAATTTTCACAACAAAAAAATTTAAATTGATAAGTTGTGCGAGTGCTACTCATATTGTGTATTGTTTTTAAGATTAAATAAAAAATTATTCAGCCTTTTTTCCATCAAATCAATTTTTTTTTCATATCCAATTAAATTTTTCCAAAATTTCACACTATTTAAACAATTGCACAAGTTTATAGAAACCTAGGCAATATTCCAAAGGAATTCTGTGTTTTTTATGTCTTATAACTTGTTAAAAATACTTTTTCATATTGTTTGGTTAGAAAACTGTTTAAACTCTAATTCAGCGGAGAGATAGTGCTAATTTAAGGTATTGATAGCACTTTCTAATCATCAAGTAAATATTCATTGATGAAAGGTTCTATTGTAGAAAGATCTACCTTGGCAGATTTTGGTGCATTGGAACATATTTTAATTATTACGTTGTTGTAAATCATTAACGCTTATCTACAAGCTAGCGTCAATTCAGCACGTGTAAGGTGTAAGTCCTCATAATGTAGATTTACGATAAAAACAGTCTAAATCGAAATGTATATGTACTTAGATACAAACGTAAGATTTATGTAAATATATAAAAGTAAAATTTATAACGGTTTAACTAAATAACTTGGAATTATAGGCAAATGTCAAAAAGCTGTTATTGGTTGCCATGGTAATATTATGAAGTAGTCGCATATAAGTGTCGCGCATCGTAAAAATTAACACATTTTTACTGTGGTAGGACCACGCAATATTATTCGCTGTTGCACGAATGGGCAGGTCCGTCCGGGTTAGTACCACGAGCTCACAGAATATCGGCGCAAAGTAGAACTGTTAGTTCTTCCGCTTTTCGTCTGGTGAGTGAGGTAGCCGGGGTCCACATTATTAAAAGGCGACACATCTGCAACCGGTGTTGCAAATGCCCGTGGTCGGTGGTTATCACTTAAGATCAGGTGAACCGCCAGCTCGGTTGCCACTTTCTCACATAAAAAAAACATAATTTTTCCCAATGAAGCACAGCTTCAAAAAAACTGCATTTAAATTTTATTATGTGACCTTGCGTGTATAGCCGTAGGACTATGACAAATCATTAATTTAAGGGCGTCCTTGTAGATGCTTATTGTTTAATGGTAGGCCTAAAAACTTTTTGAAAGCGTCTGATGGTAAGCCTAGATGTTTTCGCACTCTACGGTATTATCATGATAGTCCGACGTCGGCGAAAGCGACAGCTTCCGGCTATAAACGAATGCGGAATTGCGTCATTTCTTTTAGCAATGCCCGCGTCTGAAATAAAACTGTTAAGAACTTATTTAAATTTTGTTCCGAATATATCCTTGCTGATTCAAAGCTTCAGCACGAAGTATAATGAAATAATCCTTACTAATATTATAAAGGCGAAAGTTTCAAGAAGAAACAAGTAGAATAAGTACTGATTAACATATATAATTGTTAAAATAATTCCATTCAAATAATTGGTGATTATTCAGCAACATGAACTAATACGGGTTAGAACACGAACAAAAAAAAATACGCCCAAAATACTGAATACGAACATTCGGCACATCTCTTCTTTCAATAATACAACACAATCTGTATCACGTACGATTGTCCACAACATACATCCTAACTAATATTATAAAGACGAACGTTTGTATGTATAGATGGATGTTTGTTACTCTTTCACGCAAATATTACCGAATGGATTCTAATGAAACTTTACAATAATATATATAGTTTATACATCAGAATAACACATAGGCTATAATTTATTTATATATTTTATGTATATCTGTCTTTCTGTCTGAATGTTACGCCTTTAGCGCAGACGTAGTCGCGGGCAACAGCTAGTTTTACCATAAATATTTTATCATTATCAAAGGTGTAACTTATTTGAATGGGTTCGCCTTTGAGTTGTGTTTACCCATACTTGAGTTCGAAACCCCTAGTCATAGTGAAATTGTTAGTGTTGAAATTGTAGCGTAGTTTGTCACATGCATGGTTGCGATGGAAACATTAGTAGAAAAAAATCTATTTATAAAATTAAAGCTTCCAACATAATATGCTCTGCCTGCATAACTACAGACATTTGTTTTCCGTAAAAAAACAACTTTTGACATAGCCGCGGCGTATACCGCAGTGCCTCCAGTTATAATAAAGCTTCTAAACTTTGCGCCCCACTGAACCATTTCTGTAACGATACGAGGCTGAGAGCTATGTAGAGCAAATAAAGCATACAAACTCACTATAGTCCCATACTCTTTGCCTTAACTGCCTTAACATATAATATGTATAGAGTTCATCTACCACTTTTGGTTGTCCAATCAAAAGCTGTAGATGAACTGTTTAGTGTCCACTAAACTTTGGATTTCCGACTAAAGTAAAGGGCTATACATGGAAGTATTGAATTGAAGGGCTGAAGAATTTAATTCACTGGCTACATTCAGGTTAGTTGTTAGTTTAAGAAAGTTTTGAGTTCGACACGTATTTTTACACCGATACCATAAACTAAATGATGCATGGTGTGGCCCCATGTAGTCGGAAATTGAACAGTGTTAAGAGAGTCTTGGATGCGACTATAACGATGGTTCGTTTAGCGAGGGAGCTTTTCACGGTTGCGTTTTTTTAAAATAAAATTAGGCCGCGAGCTGCTTACCTCAGTGCGTATAAAGCCTCCTTTTTGTTCTCATCGTAATTAAGCGTCCACTGAACAACAAGATAGCATGTGGCGCAGCGCTACATATGAAATGTGTACCAGTTACCTTCTTGTAAAGTTTAATTTTTTAGATAAACTTTTTAGAATGCCATTATTATTTTTCTATTACAATATTGCGTGAAAGCTTACTGAAAGCTAAAAAAAAAGAAGCTATGTTGCTTATAATGTTGTTCAGTCGAGGATAAGCTTTGCGAAAATTTAACAATTTCTTAGTATTTTCGTCGTATCTTATACTATTTTACTTGGGTTTCGACATTGAGCGTAAGATTGCATGAATTGGTATGGATTATAATTAAAGTTTTATAACTTAGCTAATAATGATAGATGAAAAAATAATGAATCAGGTGAAGTAATACGAGATGGGATGTTTAGAAATGCATCATCTATTAACTAAGCGGGATTTAAGACGGCCTACTAAAAATAACCATTTGTTCCATT